AAAGGAGATCAAGGCTAGGGTATCCCGGACGGTTCAGAGCATGCGATAAGGGGCGCCGATGCGATCTGTGTGAACGCAGCCGACTCATCCGCCTTACACTAACTTCGACTTTGCCGCGACAGTGCCATCCGTGGCGTTGTTTGTCGAGGGTTCTTGCTCAAGGACATGACTGCGTGGTCTCAAAACTGATGGATCGCGAGTAGTGAGATGGGAGCCTCAGGACGTGACGCCACACAGCTCCTTCCTTTTTACACAGGTGGGAGCTACGTATGTTACGTACGATACGAGGTGCAAATTGCTTGGATTGAGAGAGATCCTTCACGGCGATAAATTGGCATAAAACATCCAACCATTGGTTGTTCTCGAAATCGTCTCGCAAATCTGGGAGCGAAAATCGAATCTGGTAGATGTAGAGGTCATACACGCACCGTGCAAAGTAGAGGCAAGGACGAGGGTAAAGACCTACTCGAGAGACGAAAGTCGCCAATCCAACTCGCTGCACGAAATTCTCGCGTTGAGCACTCTGTAGGCATATTTATCTGATGAAAGTTCAATTCAAACGGCATAATCCATGAAGGCAAGATGGGTGCCTTCAACCCTGGTGTGAGACAAATGAGTTGGATGAGTTGCGGCGTGTCGAATACGATTTGATTGAAGGTTATAGACAAGCGATTGAGTTGAGGGGCATCGATGCGGTTCAAGGGGTCCTCCAAGTATTCACTGACCCCATCGAATGAAAAAGAAGTGAGAGTGGGCAGGGCAGAGCGTGTCAATGGAGGCGGACGTCGGTTACCGGGTGAGGAAGAGATCGATTCGGATCCGAGCTGCAATATTTCGAGGCCAGCCAAGATGGATACACAAGTTACTATCGTCTCGGATGAAATGTACCCAGATTGATTGAAGGAATTTCCCCAAAGTTGAATATCGACGGGTGGCAGACAGAAGTAATTTCCCGAAATCCTGGGAATCGGACACAGCAATTGCGTACCATTCCCGGGATTTCGGAAACTTACTTGTGTCTGGGCCACTCACTGGCAGGATACAATCCAACCAGAGTTGTCGCAGACATTGGGGCAGATCCACCCAACGACGAATTGGGAATGGCTCGCGAACGGGCTCTGAGCCATCAAATTAGTCAGCTCTGGGAACGGTTCCTGCGTGACTACTAAAATTTTCGAATTGAAAGTCTGGAGCATAGAGCTGGATTTGATGCACACATTCACCGCGCTCTGGTGCGGAGCAGCGGTGTCATCCACCTTGCATGGTGTAGGGACCGTAAGCAGAATTCAGACGATGAGGCGATCCAAAAATGATGCACAGCCATTGCATGTACTAGCGATTGCTATGCCTATATCTCATATTACGAGATAGAGGCATGGCAATCGGTAGATCCTGACTTCGCGTATACAAAAGTCAAATATTTATAGCAGGACATTACCAGGGAGCGTGTTGTCGATTGGCATCACTTGGCCTACATCGCATCGAGTCAGTCAGCGGTAGTTGCAAGTCGTTGCGCAACGAAGACCTACATCGACTCGGTCCTCGGTCAATTGATTCCTTGCTAGTCCGGCGATGTGCATGCGTTGCTTCCATAGATGAGCTTTACAAATGGGAATCCATTAAAATCAATAACCCGTCCCCACCTTGATGAGGAGCACACCTTTGATGATTCAACGTTGGGGGTATGGGAAGTGTCACCTTGGGCCTTGTGATCTTGCTTGCGATTGGCGTTCATACTGGGCCGTGTGACACTGGGATAATGCACATAGCATATTCGAGCTATTCAAGTACACAAGTTACCACGGGACGTACCAGTGCCTGTGCTAGCCCATTCTCTGCCCATAATTTTTCTCTGCCACGTATTCCATATAGCCCATCTGTGTGCAACAAATGATTTTTTTCGTGCTGTAGATCGCTCTAGCGCCCTCAAGGCGTTTAAAAGAGGCTTGATCAAATACTGTATGGAGCATCGCAAAAGACTCTCCTTGAAAATCGACAAATACGTGTCCTCCAAGTGGACTTTCCAAAAAGAAAAGAAAACGCACTTTGAAGAACTGAAGCTCGTATCGTTACGGCGTGATCGATAACATCTTGCCTTGAGAATTCCATCCAAAAGGTTACAGAGATAAATGAAAGAGATGGTTCCTTCAAGGAAAACGTCGCTGGCATAGCGATCCAAGGCAGAGGTTAAAAATACATGGGGTTTGTCAGCGAATTAGCTAAACCCGCTTAGCGGAATCGCTCAAATGCCGGAACGTTCGATAACATTCACGATTCCTGAGTGTCTCATCACAGGACATCAACCGAGAATCGCTATAACTTGACCGGTCTTGGTCTCGATGCTTTTGCATCCCGCCGTACTGACATTTGGCGCAACGCTTATTTGAATTTTGTGTCTCTTGTTTAGGTTGCCAACCCTTGCATCGGAAGTACTGCGGCGCAACAGCACATTTCTTGTACGAATACCAGTTCCTTCAGCCGGGTAATCCAGCTTACATGTACCGTGTTTCTCAGCGAAAACGTCTCGCGTCGAGTAGAACTCAATTATGTGTGCTTGTGTTTCCAAAAACCATCGACACAGCCTGCTGCTATATTGCTGTATTAGTGCGATGACACTACCCGATCTCGTGCTCTGCCAATAGCTGAGCGGGAAATGCGTAGAAAGATGAGAACCAGTGATGATTGGAGGAAAGTACGCAAGATGCGGACCATATTTGGGATCCCATTCGAGATCGGATAGACGTGGCCGCAGTTTGGACACGTCATGGAACCATTGTCTATGTGAATCTAAGAAGACGTCGTCAGATTAGAGAGATGGTACTGAATGCGTGTCGACTGACTTCGAGAAGCACGTGGTGCAACTGTCTCAATAGGTCGTCATCGAGCATCTCTGGACGCTCGACGGGAAGCGACGTATCTCCCACCTTATATATGACAATTCATTTCGCCGGTTCCATATGAACAAAGATGTGTTACTTACTTCGCGGGAGGCCTGGATTAGGGCATCCCATTCGATTCTGGGAAGGAAGCCACGGAGAAAGTCAGGGTTAAATTCAGCTTCGCGAAGAGCAAGTTCGATGTTGGTGAGTTTTAGTGGGAAATTATTGGTAGTGCAACCCTTGACGTGACATGCAAGGAGGTTATGCGTGATCAGACGGACCATCGCACTGAGGGAGGAGACAGCTAGGGGGAAAATCCGGTCCGTGATCCGGCCGCGCGGGCGTGCGACTTATCATTCATCATTTTTTGGCGCAGCCGGGTTGCTAGTGGCACTGCTCCTCAAGGCCTCAATGGTCATTGTTAATACCAAAAGGCTAAGTTATGTACGAAGTACGTGCTCTGGTACGTTGTGAACGTAGAATAGCCGAGGGTAACATAGTAAACGTAATCCCAACAGTCGGTGAAGCGCCGCCGAGATTGTGAAAGCCACTGGCATCGCTGGTAGCAGCAGTAGTGGCGAAGGGAAGATCATGCCTTGGAACGTGCTGGTCATTTCCAACTTAATTCTATCGGGTCACCGATGTCGAGTAAACCAGGTTAGTCGTTGTGCACGCGAAGAATCCGTGGTCATGGTGAACCCCTTTGGGATATGGCTTGTTTACCGTATTGTAGTGCCATCGCCTGGTTTGCCATATACTCTTCGAGGAACAGGAACGGGGTCTATGATTCCCATGTAGACAAGGACAATGCAGTATAGAATGCTGCAGATAAGGGGCTGATGGTAATCTAGATTAAGCCATCGCTTACTATCCTCTACTGAAATCGCCACGCAATCTACCCCGCAAGCAAGCAGCGTGACCTCCGAACAAGGATCAGGAATTGATCCGTCTGCGGAGAGGTCCTGTCTCGATCTGTGGAGTGGCGGCAGCATCTCCTCCTGCGTAAAGCAATGGTCAGCGCTCAGCAGTCGCTCAAACTGACGCCGTGTCTTGTGACTTACCTTGAGAATGCGCAGTGTTTCTTCGGCGCAATCGCAGAAGAGCCTCGCTTGTCTGAGTTGCGCCGAGCGTGGCACGTCCAACCTGTCCTGAGATCATCGGCACTGAAGTGTAAAAAAGAAAAGGACATTTCCAATTAGTTCCTATGGCCACTGCGTAACGCCCACTTACTGGAGAAGCTGCTCCTCGATCCTGTTGCGGTCGCCTTGTCCAATCTCGGCTCCGCGAGCATCGAGAAGTAAACGTACTTGTACTATCTGCTGATCGCCGTGCCTTGCGAGCTTCTTGGCTCGCCACTTGATGAGAAGAAGATACATAGAGTCGTCCAGACTCGGTGTTCTTTAACGGTACTCAGGGGTAGTAAGGGGCAGAAACTGTAAAATAGATGGTTGGTTCGAGAATTCGTGAAGTTAAAATAGGCTCGCAGACCTGTCGTGAAGTTGGATTGTAGTGGCGGCTTGTGTTGACCTTGGGGGGAAGAAACAAGCGAAGGGACGAGCGATCGCTGACTCGGGGGAATCCAGGGGCAAGCACGCCAAAACACGCGCACAGGCTAAGACCATTCCAATGGCTCAATTCATCGCCTCGCCGACCGGATCGTCGGCAGTCACGCCAGGATTTACACTGAGTACTACTGTATTTACAACAGAAAGAAACAAGATCGTATCCGGAACCTACCTACAGGGAAAGCAAACACGTTGCGCTGGCTTGGTCCTGTCATTAACTCCATTTTGTCATTTGTAGGCCAGTGACGGCGGCGCACTGAATTGAGCGTGACCTTAGAATTAGAAATTCCGGAAACGTTCCGGCGGGCTTGTCACGCTACCTCCCTTGACGGAGGAACGTTCGGCCATTCCCAATTACCACATGATGCTGCAGTGCTAGGGCTGTACGCATTGTAAGTCACAACACAGCACCCTAACTTGAATTAGTTCATGAAGAGGTAATAACCATCGCGTCTTGTTTACATCGAAGTCGACGCTTTACCCTGCTAGCGTGGGTCCGAGAAGTTTGGAGATCAAGCGATGTCGGAAACCTGGAATGCAAAAGAAGAAAAGTACTAGCCCACCGCGAGGGTCGAACTCGCAGCCTTCAGATAACTGTAGGACGTTATCACCCGCCTAAGAGTCTGACGCTCTATCCGATTGAGCTAGGCGGGCATTGGTGTTGCTCCGAATATTGAGTAGAAAAGAGGCTTGCCGTGGCTGTGTCGGTTGACTCGGTTCCCAAATTAAAATCACGCGCGCGACATCCGGCACGTGGCTTATATGCTTCGACCTCCCACTCCAACTGGATATGTGTTCCCAACCGAGGCCGATGAACGCATCAATGTGCGGCGGATAAATGATTTGCAGTATTACAGCATCCTGCTGGCACTAGGGAGTCATAGCTCTCTTTACCCGGCTCTGTTTCTCTCGGTCGAAAAAAATTTGCTCGATCTGATGTCCTTCTCTTTGGGTTCTCCTTCCTTCATACTCTCACCATCTACATCATGACCGACCGCGAGTATGGTACCTCTAGCCTCGAGGATGACGACGACAAGAAGCTCGAGTCGTTAGGCTACGTCCCCTCCTTCAAGCGCGAGTTCAGCAATCTCGCGACGGTGTGTGACACTTGTCCATCTTTATTTCTCAATTCTTATAGACAATCTCTACACGACAGATTAGCTTTGCGTTTAGCATTATGGTACGCCTTCCCCTTCTCTTGCAAAATTACTCTAATCTAGTACTTACCATAGGGTCTTTGCTCATCCGTCGCAACTACTTTCAATACCCCGTTGCTTTTGGGGGGCCCTTCGTCAGTACGTCAACAAACACATACAAGCACTCTTCCATGATCCCATCAGCGCCAATCCCCATATAGGTTACGTGGTGCTGGATTCTTGGAGCGACCATGTGCTTCACCTTGGGCAAGTCGTTCTCTTTCTCACGTTACCCCACTCACGAACCATGACTCGGATGCAGGATCATCCATTGCTGAAATCGTCAGCGCGTTCCCTACATGTGGTGGACTGCACGTTTCTCCCACTACTTTTCCAGGCGCCACGCTCGCTCATAAGGGTTCTGTGACAGGTATACTGCATCCGCGCAGCTCGTGCCCAAGAGGCACAGACCAATTGTAGGTGCTTCTCTGGCCTGTCAAACAGACGCCCGTGTTTACAATATTGGAGGTTGGTTGGCTAGTTGGCTGGTTGAACATTCTTGGCCAAGTTGCCGGAATTTCCTCTACCGAATTCGGTCTTTCGAACATGATATGGGCGGCAGTCGTTGTAGCTAAAGACGGTAAGTATGAGGTCACCTCTGGCAAGGTCGTTGGCCTCTTTGTCGGATTATTGGTGTTCCATGGAATCTTAGTACGTCTTGGCATGTCCGCTTGCCAGTGGTGGAGCTGGCCCCCTTATGATACGGCCATTAAACGCCGCTTCTCGGGTTATACAGAACTGCCTTGCCACTCGTCATCTCGCAACCTTCACTAAGGGTTTCGTATTTGTGAATCTCGGAACGACAGTCCGTGCGTCACAACCGCCTCATTACCTCCATTTATTCAGTATTGATGGAGTCAATCCAGTCATCGTCATTGTCTTGCTAGCAACGACGGCCCGCCATGACATGCACCACGCGAGCTATGTATTCGGCTCTGACGGCATTATCAACCAGACGAACGGATGGAACAACGGACTGGCGTTCTTATTCGGACTGTTGAGCGTACAGTGGACGGTTCGTGTAAATTTATTCCAAATTCGTGTAAACCAACGAGCCTGTTTCTAGATGACGGTATGTTCTGGGTACTTTGATGTGAAGCTTCGAGTCCCTGATTAAAGAATAGGATTATGATGCGACGGCACATATATCGTATGTAACGTTTCTTTTTCTGAGCTGCCTTCACTTACATTGTATCTTTTAGCGAAGAAGTCAAGCGCGCAGCCTATGCCGGTAGGGTCGACTGGCTTGTAGTGATTTCCTCTTTCTTATTGCCGTGTTTTTCAGCTCCCGCTGCCATATTCATCGCTGGCGAGTAATTCGGAAAGTGTACTATTACCCGCAGGCCTAAGTTACGTATTACAGTTATAGGAACAGGTCTACTTGGATGGTTGCTCAACATAGTGCTTGTATTGTGTTCTGGTCCCTTGTGCGTTTCACCGTCTCTGTTATCCACACCCAGTCCTTACAATGCACTCAGGGAGAATCTTCCCGGACCTTCCGGATCAGCTTTCCTTCAGGCACGCGATGATTCTCGATTTTATCGTACTTTTCGGAGCTCATGGGTCATCAGATTATGACACTGCGAATGGGAAAAACTGGCGCACTGTTCCTTTGGGTGCGTAACAGAATATGTGTTTAGGAGGTCACGGTAGCTGTTATCCTCTGCAGACATTTGTGTGTCTCACGGCGTTTTTCGTCTGCCAAACTGCTCTCCATGCTTGCTCGAGGACTGTCTATGCCTTCAGTCGTGACAAGGGTATACGCACATCTTGCCGCTGCCCACGTTACAAATACTGACGAAAAAAAACGCGAAACCCGTGCATGCACTGCAGGTTTCCCGGACAACGGCTACTTTGGCCATGTATCCAAATGGACCCACACGCCCCTTCGCGCCATTTGGCTCACGACTTTGCTGAGCATTCTCCCCGGCTTGCTCGACTTTGCTTCTCCAGTCGCGGCGAATGCCATATTTTCGCTCACCGCAATGGCTCTCGATATCTCATACATAATCCCCATCGCGCTCCGCCGCATATTCCAGCATCACCCTGAGGTACAATTCAAGCCTGGACCGTTTTATCTCGGTGATGGATTGCTTGGGTGGGCGGTGAACCTCAACTGCATTGTGTGGACGCTGTTCGTTTCGGTGATCTTCTCGCTGCCGACGTATCTGCCTGTAACGTCAAACACGATGAATTATTCGTCGGTGATTACGGGTAGTGTGCTCCTCTTGGCAATGTACGTACGCAGTGTGGGGCCCTCTGGGCCTTCTCGTCTTCCGTCCTGCCAGTCGGGCTCAGGGCTGATTACTCTTCTAATCTATCTTCCCTCCCTCTCTCAGGATCTGGTACTTCGTAGAGTGCGTATTCGGTTTTCGTCATGGAACGAACTGTGATGCTGAAACCTTACTCTTGGTGTAGTGGTCGTCGACACTATCACGGACCTCATGCGTACATCACGGAAAAAAAGGCCGCCGCGCTTGTTATTCAAGTTGACGAAGGCGAGGGTGAAAAAGGAAAAAGAGATGGCCCGTTGACACGTTGACACTTGACAGCATTCACATAGAAAGATGTCCGACTAGCTCGTTACTAGTACTGTAAAAGTAACTTATGATAAGGGAGACATGGCACTAAACTTGAGCCGAGTACCCGCTATCTTCGGCTTCGGCTAACCCTTTTTGCGCGATCGTGTGTCATTGATATACTGTACGTATCAAACGATGACAGGTCATGATACAGTACAGTAATTGGATTTACAGAAATGTACTGTACGTGCGTAGCCGCGGGCCCGGGTCTCGCCGATAAACTGTCCGCGGAATGGAATGCATCGTGTTGAGTAGTACAGTATCCTTTGGGTTGGAAACTTCGTGGTCAATGTTCCAGCCGCTCTCTTTTGCCTCGGGCCCGCCCGGCTACGTACAGAATAGGTACATGTGTCGAGAACCATCGACCTCATCCCTTTCTCAATCTTATTGCGCAGCAAACCGAACCACAGAACCAACCACCAAAAATAGCTACCCAGGAGGAGGAGATGAAATTATGAATGAACCTTCAACCCCAAGGTACAGAACAACGTTCTGGATATACAGTATACCCTTCGAAGGGTTTATTGTTTTGTTTTTTTTGAAATTATTAAATTATAAGTTGGTAGCAGTAGCGACAGGTGTCACGGTCGCGTTGAAGCCTTCGTAGTCGTTATCTGTAATGAAACTCCGAGCTCCACAAACGCCGTAACGAATAACGAAAGTTCCCTTTTTTATTCTTTTCAGGTTTACACGGTTTACACGGTTTGCACCCCCGACATGATTTTTTTCTATCAAAGAAAAAACAAGTTGCTGCTGCAGCTCATCTGGGTTACGTATTATTGGGGGAAAATATCATATATCAAAAAAGATCAATTCTGTGCAGTGGGTGGATGGATGGATGGATGGATGGGCGGATTGATGGTTGATGAGCACAATCAAGACGAATGAGTGAGATTTAAAATGAATAAAAAAGAGAAGTCCGTGGGTAATCGAAAGCAAAGCAAATGTCTGTTTGGTTGGTTGGGGGTAAAATGATACTACGTGATGGGTATTCTGATATCGACTCGTTTATCGTACAGTATGGAAATCGTTGGAAAAAAATGTCGGAAAAATCTTCCTGCCAGTAAGTGGTAGCCGACAGGGTTGATCCGAAGATACAAAAATTGAGAGGGGTGAACACTACCAGCACCCGTCGCGTCATATGTTGCTCGGTGAGGGTTTTCCCGCAAAAAATAGGCAGAATAAATGACGGGGGAAGAGAGGGGGTAATACGGTACTCCCGTAACCCAGCAGCACTCAGCATGCTCTGCTGTACCCCGTAAATGCGCCGTCTTTGGCCCTGCCAGGCGCTTGAAGAGTTCGGTTCGTTAAGACGGACAAAGATCCGGAAGATCGTTATTGTTATTCGTCATCATTCACGTCATCACGGTCTTCTTTTCTACCACCTCCGGGCAACGAAGACCGCTCCCAGTGCGGAGGCGAAGAGGGCAATGGCGGCAGAAATTGTCGTGTGTAATGTAGACGCGGCGGATATACTGCCGGGGCTCGTCGCGCCGCGGACATTCTCCATGCCCGTGTGTCCATACGACGTAGCGAGCATGTTGGGGTCGATGTAAATGTTGCTGCCGGTGCTGATCGCCGACGTTGCGAATGTCATGGTCGATGTGGGCGAGACTTCCTTTAGCGAGTCGGCAGTGAGGAATACGAGCGCGAAGGCTGGCGCTGGTACGGGGATGGTACAGGTATTGGCATTTTGGTCACATTGGATCGTTGTAATGTCTAGCGCGCCGTTCAGCCGACCATCAGACTTCAAGGCACTGCCCAGGGTCTGTGGTAGGGAGAAATATTCTCATGAGCACCGCCGGAAAGAACGGGCAACAGGATGAGCTTACCTGCCCTGCCCACGTAAAGTTGGTTATGGACGACACGGACGGGG